GAGGCGGAGATAAGGTGCTGATTTCTGGGGCTTATTGTAGGTCCAATACTGTGATTTGGAAATCTTCAATTTGTGGTTTTACAGGTAATACTTTATATTTGACCCCTGTTATGTCTTACTTTGTGCCCTTTGACCTTTGTCATGTCCCAACACTTTGTCACCTCTGACCTTTGTCATGTAACAACACTTTGTGACCTCTGACCTCTGTCATGTCCTTACCCTTTGTGACCGTGACACTTTTCTATCAAAATGAAAACAAAACTCATTTCTTTTCAAGGGAACCTTGGAATTTAATAATTCTTCAATCGTCAAATGAAATAGAGAGAAAAAAGAGGAGAAAATGATGTGGTATATGTCATTTCAACAGATCACAGATGACACATGAACATCACAGGTAGAGTTAACGTCATTTGGTCTAAACATGATATTAATAAATTGTTTTTGTTTACATAAAGTTTTCTCTAAATATTTGTGTTGATTAATTACTCTAATTGTTTATTTCACATGTATTAAAAAATGTTACACTAAACAGACTAATGAGTTCATTAACAATGATGTCTCTTACACCTGAAATATTCAGAATTTTGAAATAAATTTTTTTCTTATGATATGCAGAATTTTGGGATCGAGAAAAAAATATAAGATCTGTTTATATGATAATCAGAATTTTCTAGTCTGCATAAATAAGATCTTTGAAATTTCAACGACATTTGACGAAACAATTACCACAATTGTTAATTAAAAATTGAAATGTTGATGCTCAATATCTTTACAAGGTTGGGTGATAAGGTAATCGTGATCATTAGAGGTTATCAAAAGCTATTTACTAATTAATACCATACTCTCAAAATGCCTTCACAAGACATAAAAAAATTTCACAATTTCTCTGAACTGATTCATTCTGTATGATCCCAAAGATCAACCCAATGCATCCAAATTACTACGACATAAAATTCAGGCTCTGCACACATATACGACTTTCCTTAATGGGTCATTTTAATCACACAGACAATATTATAAGCAGCAGTTTTCCATGAATAAGTAGTTCAAACACATTATTTTCTTATTCTTCCTAGGATTCTTGGATTTGCAAAACCAAATGAGATTCCCACTTGATGTGAAAACTGCCATTTCAAAAAAGCTAAAAATTTTGCTGCAAGCCAATTTATTTAAATATTTAAAAAAAAATTCAGTATTATTTCAGTAAAAAAAGCCCTGGAAAACTGAGAAAATTTTTTAAAAAGAATTTTTATTAATCAATATTTCCAAAGTAACAGATAGCATTCCTCTTCTGTGAGGTAGTTTTATCACTATGTTGAGCTATATGGAGAAATATTGATATTGTTCATCATTTCTTATATACACACACTATTTCACCCAATATACCAGTGTTACTGTAATAACTTCAGTGTTTAAACATTATTTACTGATCCTGCCACTTTTTAACTGCATATTCACAAGTGTTGATTGTATGCCATGAGTCGACCCTTTTTCATTATATGTGTTTTCCACTTTAATATTTCAAATGAATCAAAAATAATTTTGATACACTTGAGGTACATTGTTAAATCTTGATATGAGTAGATGCTTTGATTACACTAAGGAATATTCAATCCTTATCTAAGTTCAAATATTATTCTAAAAATTCTAAAAGATGTAAATAAAACAAGATAACTACCTGTAGACTGCATCTTTTTTTTAAAGGAGACAACCATTATTTACATTGAATAATTCTGCGGTAATTTTCATAGTAATTTTCATACAAGTTTTTAAAATCAGAGAAATACTTCCATGAAATATCAGTACTCTAAAATCTCTTAGCAAAATAAAAACTTAAGTTATTTTATAAGGTGCATGCATTCTTCATGTATCTCCGGCCCCCTCCCTCCAAAAAAAAATTTCAAAAATGCAATCTGTGGCTACAGCAGCCAATCGGATCTCGATCTCATAGAGGGTGTGGTTTTATCACCTTAATAGGCATTCAGTTTTAAAACAAAATACACACCGATATCACATATACAAATGAATATTCATATAAAAAATTAATGTTTAACATGTAAATAGTGATGATATCTACACGTTTACAGCTAACACATATCAAATCAATATTAATTACCATTTACACAATGCTCTATATTATAATTTCATATTCATTCACAATTTCTTGGATATACATTCAGGTTTTCACAAAATCACTTGCATTCCTCCACATCTTTAATTTTTCAAATATCATAAAAAATGACCACATATTCTATATTTAAATTAATACCCTTATCTCAATTGTCAACAATATTCCATTAACAAACAGATAATTTACATATGCAAATTTCAGTATAATTCACATTTGCAAATACATGAATAAATATTAATTACAAATGTAAATATTAATCACACATACTACATCACTTACATATGCAAATGTTAACACATTTACATATGCAAATAATTTATGAACGTCATTTACATATGTAAATATCAACATCATTTACATATGCAAATACAGACACCATTTACATATTTAAAATTCCATAGGTAATTAAAATGAAAGGAATTGGTATGATTTTATTTAAAAAGCTGGGTTGTATCAAGTGTTACGTCATATTCAAAATACATTTGATACATTGTACGTGTGTAAATGCATATAAAAAAGATATTAGATAAAAAAGACTATTATTTATTCCTGGAAGAAAAAAAAATACATTGGTCAATCAAGAAATCTTCACAATGAAGATGCTATTCCTGTCCTGTATTTTAATTTTGTTCATTGATGTAGAATCTTTTAGATGTTATGTGAAAGGGATCATTGATTTAATTTTTCTACATCTACCAGATGAGTGACAATAAAATAGCTAAATAATTATACATTTTATCCATGATCTTTTATAAGGGAAACTAAGGAAGTTATTTTTTTCGGTATGAAAATCATATTCTGCCTTTTTGTAGTTATACATGAACATGTAAGATACAAAACAGGGACAGTTTTTCAACCGAACTTCCAAAGTTTTAAAGATAAGGTAAAAGTTTGTTAAACTACATGAATTATTGTTGAATTCTACTTTCTCAACTTTATTTTACCTCAATAATGTCAAAAATAGTTCCATGTTTCATACAACAAAAACGCTTTTTTATTTGAATTTAAATGATCTACCCTGTATCATTCAAACAAGGGTGCTAAAGAGATAAGGATTTTTCTGAATAATTTCAGATAAGGAAACTGATTGAAATAAGTTTCATAATCTGTTTCTGTGTCTTCCTTTTTCTAGTTTGATCAGCTAATGATAAAATATTTCCCAAGAAACAAGACTGATATAACAATTAACACAATAAAGATATATATAGACAGTACAAACTCTGAAGTGTTAACAAATATCGGAGATCATAACAGCTCGCCTTTTGGAAGAATACGTAAAAAAATAAAAAAAAAAAAAATTAAAAAAAAAAAAAGGCCCAAAACATCAAAATATTGGGATTGTTTTTCTAGTTGAACTGCAGTAAATGAGATTGGACCCATCTGAGTCTTCAGGCCAAATAAAAGCATCCTATTTCAAATAGTTAAGGCTGTATATACCCTAAAATCTAAAAATAAGCTGACCTAAAAATAAGCCTATCCTTAAAATAAGCTTTATATTTCTTACTAAATAAACCTGCATTTGCTTACTATTAAAGAAAATAAGTCGTCTTATTTTCTAGTTTTTAGGGCATAATATTAAAAGTAAGCAGACAAACATTCAGTCAAACAGCTAGGTGGGTTTAACAGTTTTTGTAAAGTCTGTGTAAGCATGTTCCTGGAACAGCAAGTTTAATGAAACAGATCAGATTTGACAATTCTTCAAATAGGCCAGACTCAAAACAAGCAAATTAAGAATTCTTCAAACAGACGAGCTTTAAAGAAAAGGAACAAATTGATAACAGGATTGACTCATGTTACAGATAAAAAATATCAAATAAAACATGACAACATTAAATGTGAAACATTTGTCATTAAAATGTGACACACAGAACCTGTTATGTGAATCATGATCATAAACAACAATAAAATGTGAAACATCTTTTGTCAAAAATGTGACACAGAATCGGTCATGTGAATCACGATCAACATCACAAAATATTGACTCGTACAGTTAATAATACATTTTTCATAATGTGCTAAACACAAAATATTGATTGGTGAAAATTTCCTGATTAAGCACGATTTGGGAATCACAATATGAATGGTGCTGAACTACACTCAGACATAAGGTGGCAACATCCACTAATTAGCACCCAGTGCTTCTGTATACACACCAGCTTGGAAGAAAAAAAAAATCACATCACAAGAATTAAGTGTGGTGAAAATAAGTGTTATTAGTCATAAACAAAGCACTGTATTAATCAGTGTCTTTTTCCACGTTTCCTGATGTGTCACGTGTGCACATAATGTCTTTTTAACCATTTTTTTTCTACAGCTGTGTATACATTAAGGCAACACAATATTCAGCCAAAATCAATATTTCCACTTCAGACATCAGGACGAATATCCAAGAATCCTTCGTTTAAATCTGAAGGGATTTCACCATCCGTCTGTCTTATTTTCCAAAACGGAATCCATCAAATAAGCTCAATTCATGGTGAATCGCTCTCTCACCAATTTATGTGACAAAACCTGTTAAAGGTTTGGTGATCTACCGCTAGTAGTCCAATTGTCTGTTTTAGGAAAATCATTGCACATTACACTTTTTCTTCTACTGACTTAATGTCATTTTGTTACTTGATGAGTGTTGAACAAACTTTTCCTAGAGTTACCTCCCTTCCACTTCCAGCACATTTGGCAAGATTAGACAGACTGCCTTCTTCTTGTTTTATAAGGGTTTTGAAGCACGAGGTACGATTAACTCCTTCAAAATCCTGAATGAGTTTGTATCAGATGATAGAACACCGTAGATAACTAATAATCATTTTGATGATGATTAAAAAGTTTCAATCATGGAATATTTCATATAAAACAAAATGTGATGATAACAAAAAACTATGATATATCTGTATCTTTGAAAAAACAAATTCTTATTGATTGATATTTGAGGTCTGACAAATCAAATCACATTTTTCTTCATATATTGAATTTAAAACCAAGAGTTATTTTGAAAATTATGTATATGTAATTTTAAAGTTGACAAAACTTTTGCATTACAAGCTTTGTTAAAAAGTATCATTCCAAACTGAAATTAGGTAACAATAGCTTCTAGCAATAATAATCTTAAAAATCAATTGACGTTGTTTATGTTATAACATTAACGTCCTTATTATCATTACACCATTTGTCCATCATATTATTGAACACGTTGAAAAATATCAACAGAATTTCCATTGGTCAGAAAGACAATTTTTACGTCCTGAACATATATTACGACACGTTCATTAAAACAAGTGTTAAGATCACCAGGTTCATCCAATATCTCCCTTTAAAATGAAATCTTCTAACAAGGAGACTACAAAAGGTGTTCATTGTTTTGTTTCATTTCTATTCAAAACTTCTGACACAATTTCTTTCCATTATTTTCCAGTTGTGTAAATTTTGATTTCCTTATGAAATACAGTGCCCGATATCACTTTGTAGATGTTTGATATGTTGAAACAGCGTGACGTTGTAAACTTAGGATTCACAGAGCAAAGATCTCTAACTAAGACTCGTCTATAGGTTCTTGTTTGCTATTTTCTAAGATTTTGCTTTTTTGTTCAAACTTCTTGGACTTTCCTGTGAAACATTCCTTCAAGAAATCTTCCATGGTTTCGTAGAGATGACGTCGTGAGTTCCCACCATCGAGACCATGTTGTTGGTCAGTATATATCTACAAAGTATAAGATGAGAATAAATACATCGAAAAGGACTTAAAGGGTTATCAAAAAAGACATGGGTTATGGAAAAGGACTTGTGGGTTATTGAAAAGGACTTGAAGGGTTATCAAAAAAGACTTGATGGGTTATCAAAAAGGACTTAAAGGGTTATCGAAAAAGACTTAATGGGTTATCGAAAAGGACTTATGGGTTATGGAAAAGGACTTATGGGTTATCAAAAAGGACTTAATAGGTTATCTATATATATGTAATATTAACTATGATTTCTTCACATGGGGGTTAAAGGTTAGTTTTTTTTTTTCAAGTGCTAAACTTCAAAAACCTTATCCCTAAGGACGAGTGTTCATTTCCTACATCACATGGTGATGATTCTGATTGTTAAACACTAATTGTTGTGGTGGACTGTGGTAGACTATATACAAAATGCCATCCTCCCTGGCACACGAAATGACCACAAAGATATAATCAGATTGTGATATATTAGGTACACGGGTCTTTGTATATGGTAGTTTACAAAATATCTCTAAGGTATCAGATAATTAAGGTTGGTTTAATTAAAGTTGATATAATTTAGGTTGTAGGTTGGTATAATTTCGGTTGTAGGTTGGTATAATTCAGGTCGGTAAATATCACATAGATATGCTTTGTAAGACTCTAATTCACCGTAATTTCAGATCAACATTTACAGCTACAGTTACTTTATAACTTCACCTGTGATCTGAAGTAGACATTCTCCTCTACCAGTGCACGCATCAACTGGGCTGAATTTTGGAAATGGACATTGTCTGGAAAATAAAAGAAATAAGAATTCGGGTTTTGAATTGTAAGAAACATTTACCTAGGAACTGTTTTCTTTCTGTATTTGTCTTGTTTTGATTTGTGTTCGTTACAAGTACTTGACAATGCATTACATAGACAGGTATAGATTTTTCGGTGCCGTGACCAAGATTTATTCAAATGATGAAACGGAAATCAATCAAACCTGTCAAGATTTATTAGCGATAAAAATGTGTCCGAGTTATTTTGTAATACTAGTTAAGAATTTTTGTTTTAATTAAATTAAATATTTTTACTACATCTCAGTAACTTACCATCTCCAGTTCCATGAATTAACATAAACTTAGCTGACTTGAAATTCTTTGCATTTTTGGAAACATTTGACAACTGAAATAAAAGAAGTTTTCAGGATGATAATTTACTATATCTATATTACAATACACAAAACGTCTGTTATTCAACTTGCATAAATTCAATAATTAACAGAGATGAATGTGATATTACGAACCTGCCCCAAATAACTAACAGTAAAAATCTTTAGTATAATTGTATACCATTGTTGAAGATTTGTTTAGAAAGACGAGAAAATGAGTCACTCTGTGATGATTAAATGATAACAACCTGACTTCAACATGAACACCGACTAATAAACTACTTCAACACCCGGATATATTGTATCTACTTACATTGTACCCATCAGGATTGTCCTCCGGTGTACTCATGTATCGCTCAGTATACACAGAGTCTACAAACAAGAAATTGTACCGATATCAAATTTAAGATTTTTTTTTTTTTTTTTTTTCAAAATATATAACTCTATCACACGTATTTTATTAAAAAAATTGCTTCAACAAATCTGTTAATATCTTATCATATAGTCAAGATGCAGCAATAATATTCGTTTCGAAAAAAAAAAAAAAAAAAAATCTGAAATCTTTTCCATTGGACATAAAACATAGAATTTATGGCTGGTTTAGAGGTAGAAACATTTTGGATTACATTTCATGGAAGCACAACATACAGCTGGCAGTTTTCGTGATGTTAATTTACCATAGTAATGCCAGTCGGTGACAGGAGCCACGGAGATACCACATCCAAACGTCTCTGTCCCTCGACCGAGTACAGAGGCTGTCAGGAAACCACCGTAAGACTGGAAAATAGAAGGGAAAAATATTCTACTGCATGTGTTTATTACTAACAAGCTAATAACACTTTGTGTTTTTCCATCAGAACTTGCGAATAGCATGAACATTTTAGATTTTAAGGCGACTGAAAAGACAAAGACAGCGCTAACCACATGATTTTAGTTTCATGGCAAATATTTCCTTTTTGTCATTTTCATGAGTTTGTTCAGGAATATATAAGCATGAAAACCTAAATGATAATTTATCATTTTTCTAATAAATCGTCTTTAAATCTTATTTTTTTAAAATCATTTCATGGCTTTTCTTGTAAATTAGTGTGAAAAAGACTTACTATATAAAAATAACATTCACAACATCTTCAATTTTTTTTTTCTCTGTTTCTTAAACAGTAGACATAAGAAACTTATCATTAAGTCTTCAGAAAGAGCACTTACCCAACCCCATATTGCTATCTTACTGGACTCTACGTAGGGCAACTCGTCATAAAAGCTGAAAACAAAAGTGAATGTTTGGTAATCTTATTTCTGTAAGTAATGCACAAATCTCTGATGACACACATTGTAAAGGATCAAGTATTACATTTTTGTAAACAGACTGTTAAAAAATACCAATAAACAGCAGAACTGCTAAAGCTGTTTTAACATTTTTTGAATTTGAAAAATGATCCCAAACATATATTGTTCATAGCTGTATAAATAGGTAGCACCATGCTTGAAGTGATAAGCTGATGGACTGGGGTCTTTTCAAGATGAAAACGAAATACTTTGAAAAACAGAATACAATTAATTGAATTTATAGACAGGTTAACTATTTATGTATTTATTTATTTTCAATATACAGGTAAATATATATTTTTTCAATTTAAAATAATTTCTAGGTTCAAATACTAGCTCCTTCACTTCTATGGGTACAACATCTACTGACATCCTTGAAAACAATGTCTATAATAGCAAACTTTTGAAGGGTAGATCCTTTTGTAAATCAGTATATTATTTTGATTCCTGTAGAGCAGGGTAAGGTCAAAGATGATTTTCTAAACTGCTATATGAAATAAGTAAAAGTGGAGTTGATTTGATAATGATAAAGAGTAGAAACGAATTGCTTACTTCCCAGCAGTTACAGCATCATCAACCTCATATGTGCCCAATTTTCTGTAGATGGAGTGAAGGAATGTGTTTCCTCTGGCTGCGGTCCCTCGTCCATCCACGTATGCACAGATAAAGTCATGAGTACTGGACAGGTAGGTCTCCCATGAGAGCGAGAATTGTTCTGTCACTTCCTGACTTCCTGGACCTCCGTATCTGAAGAATGTCAAGAAAGACTGAATTGGAACTCTTTTTTAAGGAGAGTTCTATCCATAACGTGGATAGTCATCTGTAATATTTTCTAACAAAATTTCAGTTGGAGCGTTGGCCAACATAACTTCAGGTGAAAACCCAAGGAAAAGAGTTCCAACCATGTCAGTTTCTCAACTGACTAGTCAAAGAAAGACTCCTTGCTCTGGACGGCATGCAGTGGGCCTCTCTTATGTTGTTCAGTGACTAAGTCACCAGTTACTACAAGGAGACGCCATCTAAAAATGACCCTGACTATTTACAAGGCAATATACACAGCAAACAAACAAACAAACAATTTGAAAGTCCGGAAAGGGAGATAACAATAAAACAAATATATTTATGTAAAGATAGAAAGGTAGCATACAGTCTTAAAGTTTGATTTGTATGACAAGATGTATGATCTGAAAGTAGCTTTATATACTTACACTTTCAGCAACAGAGGGTAAGTCAAGATTTCTTCCTTTTTAAGTATCGGTGGCAGCAACAATTTTCCATGTAGAACTACAATATAATATCATTGTTATAGATGTGAAACTAAATACAGATCCAACTTATAAATCTATTGAATGTTATGTAACTTAATCTCCTCCCCAGACAGAAGGCGACTCATAGTGTATATAGGCCCAATTCCAAGTCACCGTTTAAAAAGCAGAAAAACAAGATTTTTCAGTCTCTTTCATACTTGTCAAGCAACTGTTAAAAATGGTTTATCATCACTAAACTTGGCTTTGAATTTTGCACATATGTAGAACAATAAACCAACAGAGCAAAATTCTACTCCATTATTCTGTAAGAGAGTAAAAAGTATAGGTCAAACTGACCTTCATATCCCCTAATAATGCAGGTCTTCCCTGAACTAACTGCTGAAACAGTACTCATGTTTGAGGGAGATTTTGAGATTCAAAATATAACAGTTAACTGAAAAATTATGAGGTCAAAAAAAGTTGAATTCTATATAACATTCAAACTGTTGCTATGGAAACATGTTGGTTGTCACAATTAAAATAACAGCTGCTATGGTTACTTACTCTCCCCATTGTCAGCCTTGAAGGTGAAGAATTCTGTGGTGGGTAGGGCCTTATTTGGCAGTCGAGCTCGCAGGCCTTCATTGCCCTCCATCATAATCTCTATAGGTAAAAAAAAATAATGTTTATATTTATATATACATGTATGTATACATATATTTGTGAACATACATAATCTATATTTATCCTACAGAAAGGCCAGCACAAATCTCAAACCCTAAAATTGGAGGTCAAAGACACAAATCTCAAAACCTAAGATTGGAGGTCAAACACATAAATCTCAAATCAAAAGATTGGAGGTCACAGACACAAATCTCGGACCTAAAGATTGGAGGTCAAACACATAAATCTCAAACCCAAAGATTGGAGGTCAAGGACAAAAATCTTGAACCCAAAGATTGGAGGTCAAGGACACAAATCTCAAACCAAAAGATTGGAGGTCAAAGACACAAATCTCATACCCAAAGATTGGAGGTCAAGGACAAAAATCTCGAAACCTAAAGATTGGATGTCAAGGACACAAATCTCAGACCGAAAGATTGAAGGTCAAAGACACGAATCTCAAACCCAAAGATTGGATGTCAAGGACACAAATCTCAGACCGAAAGATTGGAGGTCAAATACACAAATCACAAACCCAAAGACTTATTACATGGGAGGGGGTTGGTGGTAGTTAGAAATTGTTAGCATTTTGTCTTAAACTGCATTGACCTTGGGTGGGCTTATTAACAGAAAAGGACTTATTGATATAAATATGGTTACACAGTTACATGACATCTCCACACTTCAATTCTAGTTCATCTGGCAGATTGGCTTATCATGTAAAAATATGAAAGATTTTGTATTTCTGCTGAACTTGTTGAAACAGGTGTGAGTAGGCTTATTACCAGACATAAGGTTTCTTGCTGAAAGTTTATCTTGTGTAAATAAAATGAGCCTAAAAATAAGCCTGGAAATGACAACAAGACAGATCCAGGATATCATATTTCAGTAGAATAAGCTCATGTGGCTATCAAAGCAAGCTGAAAGTCATTGTGTTACAAAATTATTTACCAAAGTCTGACTCTGTTGAACGGAGGGTATAGTAAGGAATTCCTGGACCCATACATCCAAGGACGTAGTACTTTCCCGACTGACTGAAACTGGCAGTGTAGTACCTGCAATGGTCTGGATCAAGGTCACAGGTCAAACACTCTGTGTGCCGGAAATTATTTTGCAGAGAGCTGGACACACTGGAAAAGTATAAAATCACAAAATGTCTTTTAAGTCTGAAAACTGAGGACAATGACAATTCACTTAAGTGTTTTAATTGCTTTTTAGTAATTTCCAACTGAATGAAAACAAATATTCAAAAAAGTATCGCAGTTACATAGGAAAATACAAGTTTCTGAAGATGAGGAATTTGACTAGACTTGAAGAAGAATGTTGTATATTGAGCAAAGCGCTTTTTTCATAGCTTTTTTGCTTCATGAAATGGAAATTTATATTTTCCGAAAATATAATCAGCTAACAAAAAGTATCTTTAACATGTTTAGACAATGCTTATTGAAAGAAAAAATCTGATAAGCAAATTATGTTTTACACTTTTGTTCAGCTTAAATTTTTTCCCCATTTTATATTATTTTCTTCCAGGTGAAGAAATTCTGATTAGCTTAAGACACTCCCTACCACTCCTACAGGTAGTTTTTGATTGGCCAAAATATCTGACACATGTAGTAATTGATTTTTATCAGTGATTTCAAACAATATACAAACAACAGAACCTCATTATCTGGAAGTCAGTGTTTCCAAAAATATACATCAAACAGAACCTCATTATCTGGAAGTCAGTGGGACCATGGGGAAACTTCAAGTTATCCAATTATTCTTCTAAATAAGATTGAATGTTTAATGTAAAGTTTGGCCAGGACTGCCTAAATATTTCAAATCATACAGGTATTTGAGTTATAAGAGTTTGAGATAATGAGGTTTGACTGTGTATCATAATCGATAAGTATTTATGTCAAGACATTTTGGACTCGACACCATCAGATTTGAAGCAGGAAAACATTTGTGAAAACAATTATCACTTGTGATGAAGAAAATTAATTTTTTTATTAAAAATATTTTTGATGCTAAAGCTTAATTTTTTAAAATCATATGCATAAATTTAGACATTTAGAAAATTTTTCAATTTCACTTTGTTTTAATAAGTCTACCTGAAGAGATGTCTGTGTCGTGGGTCTCCCTTAGTAGATATGTAATACACTAGTTCCAGTTTCTCATTATATCCCACAATGTTTGTGACATCATACTTGCCGAGGGTGAGATAGCGCCTCACGCCAGTCTCCCGGCTCAGCTGCTGCAACAAATGGAGGTAATAAGAGCTCTATAAAATTGTGTGTTAGTAAGACAGGAAACTATACAGCACTACGGAACTACTGGACTGCAGAAACTACAGTGATGTACAATTTCAGGATGGCCAAAAACAAACAGCACTATGCAACTAATGGACCGCACAAACTACAGCACTACACAACTACAGGATCACAGAAACTATAGCACTACACAAGTACTGGACCACAGAAACTATTGCACTACACAAGTACAGAGGACCACAGAAACTATAGCACTACACAAGTATAGAGGACCACAGAAACTATAGCACTACACAAGTACAGAGGACCACAGAAACTATAGCACTACACAAGTATACAGGACCACAGAAACTATAGCACTACACAAGTATAGAGGACCACAGAAACTATAGCACTACACAAGTACAGAGGACCACAGAAACTATAGCACTTCACAAGTATAGAGGACCACAGAAACTATAGCACTACACAAGTATACAGGACCACAGAAACTATAGCACTACACAAGTATAGAGGACCACAGAAACTATAGCACTACACAAGTACTGGACCACAGAAACTATAGCACTACACAAGTACTGGACCACAGAAACTATAGCACTACACAAGTACAGAGGACCACAGAAACTATAGCACTACACAAGTACAGAGGACCACAGAAACTATAGCACTACACAAGTACTGGACCACAGAAACTATTGCACTACACAAGTACAGAGGACCACAGAAACTATAGCACTACACAAGTACTGGACCACAGAAACTATAGCACTACACAAGTACTGGACCACAGAAACTATAGCACTACACAAGTACTGGACCACAGAAACTATAGCACTACACAAGTATAGAGGACCACAGAAACTATAGCACTACACAAGTACAGAGGACCACAGAAACTATAGCACTACACAAGTATACAGGACCACAGAAACTATAGCACTACACAAGTACAGAGGACCACAGAAACTATATCACTACACAAGTATAGAGGACCACAGAAACTATAGCACTACACAAGTACTGGACCACAGAAACTATAGCACTACACAAGTACTGGACCACAGAAACTATAGCACTACACAAGTACTGGACCACAGAAACTATAGCACTACACAAGTATAGAGGACCACAGAAACTATAGCACTACACAAGTATAGAGGACCACAGAAACTATAGCACTACACAAGTACAGAGGACCACAGAAACTATAGCACTACACAAGTATAGAGGACCACAGAAACTATAGCACTACACAAGTATAGAGGACCACAGAAACTATAGCACTACACAAGTACTGGACCACAGAAACTATAGCACTACACAAGTACTGGACCACAGAAACTATAGCACTACACAAGTACAGAGGACCACAGAAACTATAGCACTACACAAGTACAGAGGACCACAGAAACTATAGCACTACACAAGTACTGGACCACAGAAACTATAGCACTACACAAGTACAGAGGACCACAGAAACTATAGCACTACACAAGTACAGGGCCTCAGAAACTCTGTCACTATACAAGTTCTGGATCACAGAACTACATCACTACAGTACCACTGAACTACTGCACCACTGAACTACAGCATACCTAACTACTGCACCACTGAACTAAAACACCACTGAAGTGCAGCACCACTGTACTACAGCACCACTGAACTACAGTACCACTGTACTACAGCACCACTGAATTACAGCACCACTGAACTACAGCACCACTGAACTACAGTACCACTGAACTACAGCATACAGAATTACAGCACCACTGAACTACAGTACCACTGAACTACAGCATACAGAACTACAGCATACAGAATTACAGCACCACTGAACTACAGCACCTTGGAACTACAGCATCACTTAACTACAGCACCACTAAACTACAGTACCACTGAATTACAGCACCACTGAACTACAGCACCACTGAACTACTGCACCACTGAACTACAGCACAACTGTACTACAGCATTCAGAACTACTGCATCACTGAACTACAGCACCACTGAACTACAGCATCACTGAACTACAGCATCACTGAACTACTGCATAACTGAACTACAGCACCACTGAACTACAGCATCACTGAACTACAGCATCACTGAACTACTGCACCACTGAACTACAGCACCACTGAACTACAGCATACAGAACTACTGCACCACTGAACTACAGCACCACTGAACTATAGCACCACTGAACTACTGCACCACTGAACTACAGCACCACTGAACTACAGCACCACTGAACTACAGCATTCAGAACTACAGCACCACTGAACTACAACACCACTGAACTACAGCATTCAGAACTACAGTACCACTGAACTACAGCATACAGAACTACAGTACCACTGAACTACTGCACCACTGAACTACAGCACCACTGTACTACATCATTCAGAACTACAGCACCACTAAACTACAGTACCACTGAACTACTGCACAACTGAACTACAGCATACAGAACTACTGCACCACTGAACTACAGCACCACTGAACTACTGCACCACTGAACTACTGCACCACTGAACTACAGCACCACTGAACTACAGAACCACTGAACTACTGCACCACTGCACTACAGCACCACTGAACTACAGCACCACTGTACTACAGCATATAGCAGACAGAGCTACAGCACCACTGAACTACAACACCACTGCACTACAGCATATAGCAGACAGCGCTACAGCACCACTGAACTACAGCAACACTGAACTACAGCACCACTGAACTACAGCAACACTGAACTACAGCACCACTGAACTACAGCAACACTGAACTACAGCACCACTGAACTACAGCACCACTGAACTACTGCACCACTGAACTACAGCACCACTGTACTCATCATATAGCAGACAGAGCTACAGCATCACTGAAATACAGCACCACTTAACTACAGCATACAGAACTACAGCACCACTGAACTACAGCACCACTGAACTACAGCACCAATGAACTATAGCATCACTGAACTACTGCATCACTGAACTACTGCATCACTGAACTACAGCACCACTGAACTACAGCATCACTGTACTACAGCATTCAGAACTACTGCATCACTGAACTACAGCACCACTGAACATCACTGAACTACTGCACCACTGAACTACAGCACCACTGAACTACAGCACCACTGAACTACTGCATAACTGAACTACAGCACCACTGAACTACAGCATCACTGAACTACAGCATCACTGAACTACTGCACCACTGAACTATAGCACCACTGAACTATAGCACCACTGAACTACTGCACCACTGAACTACAGCACCACTGAACTACAGCACCACTGAACTACAGCATACAGAACTACTGCACCACTGAACTACAGCACCACTGAACTACTGCACCACTGAACTACAGCACCACTGAACTACAGCACCACTGAACTACTGCACCACTGAACTACAGCACCACTGAACTATAGCACCACTGAACTACTGCACCACTGAACTACAGCATCACTGAACTACAGCACCACTGAACTACAGCATACAGAACTACTGCACCACTGAACTACAGCACCACTGAACTATAGCACCACTGAACTACAGCACCACTGAACTACAGCACCACTGAACTACAGCACCACTGAACTACAGCACCACTGAACTACAGCATTCAGAACTACAGCACCACTGAACTACAACACCACTGAACTACAGCATTCAGAACTACAGCACCACTGAACTACAGCATTCAGAACTACAGTACCACTGAACTACCACTGAACTACAGCACCACTGAACTACAGCACCACTGAACTACAGCACCACTGAACTACAGCACCACTGAACTACAGCACCACTGAACTACAGCACCACTGAACTACAGCACCACTGAACTACAGCATACAGAACTACAGCACCACTGAACTACAGCATTCAGAACTACAGTACCACTGAACTACAGCATACAGAACTACAGCACCACTGAACTACAGCACCACAGAATTACAGCATTCAGAACTACAGCACCACTGAACTACAGCACAACTGAACTACAGCATACAGAACTACAGCACCACTGAACTACAGCACCAATGAACTGCAGCACCACTGAACTACTGCACCACTGAATTACAGCATACAGAACTACAGCACCACTGAACTACAGCACCATTGAACTACAGCACCACTGAACTACAGCATACAGAACTGCATTGTAGGACCAGAGAAAACAGCAAGATTACAAGGTTGAAGAAAAAAAATTCTGAACTACTTCTAAGACCACAGCAAACTATGATATAATAGGGCTAATCACACAAAAACACAAACAAATAAATTTCAAATAAAAAATAACCTGATATGATTCATTGGATTTTCTATGATCAATCTTAAAACTTAATACTAACTCATGCCAGTGTTAAACAATATTTCAAAATAAGACTTGAGCATAAATATTTGAGTATTTTTCCTCAAAAAAGCATTAGCTTTAAAATTTGATTTTCATCAATTTTGCTTTTTTAAGTCATAATTATAGAAGTTTTCCCCCTAACTCCATGTTAAAAATTTCATGCTCTCAAGAATAATAAGTGGTCTGCACTTCATCACACAACGCAACAACCACTAAACCTAGAGGAATGGGAACAAACAGAGTATCATCAGAAAGGCCATTAAATAAATCGGTAAATAACAATAATAACAAAAAAATCCAGTGCTGATTGGATACTGGTAAACAGAAGGAAAATTTCAAAAGATTCTATAAAAGTTAGTTAAAGACACAAGTCAATTGAAAGAAAAAAAAATATAGATAAATTAAAAAAATTGAATAAACATATAAATAAAACAAAATACATTAAAATGTTCAAGCTTTATTTTAATAAGAATTATTTTATAGGGCTTGATTCCCCTACATCATGGTTTGTTAGAGAGAGTTATCTCCCCTTAGCTATTAGTGTAAGAAGATGAGTCTATATATTGTCCATTGTCCATGCACAAAGAACTGAGTTTTGCATGTACGAAATAAAGGATGGAGTTGGAAAAGAGGGAATTATTTTTTTTTTTTTTTCATCTGTCAACTATAATGACAACTGCATTTGGTTGGAAGAATTTAAGGAAAAGTAAGAGAATTATCAATAACTATATATAGTTATCGCTATACACTATACTGGAGAAAACAATAGAAGTGGAGGCAAAAATTATTTTGTATTAGTTTCAATATCAAAAATATTTCAAATAACCAAGAATTACACTGACCCTATCCAAGTTACTCAGAATCCCATATTTTGAAAAACCTATCAAAATTATACAGAATTCCATATTATTGTAAAAACCTATCAAAGTTACACAGAATTCCATATTGGCAATGACAATGCATGTTAAAAAAAACTTTAATGTTCAGATGGAAATTATTACTTTTTAGAATGCTTCTGTAAACATTATACCCTAGGATGCCAGAAGTTAGTATTCATTTTCAGGAAAGGATTGAACTAAAATGTCTGCCACTTACTTTGATACGCTGACTGGAATATATTGTTATCATAGGGGGCATTTGGAGACGTAAACTTAGTTTTCTTTAATCTCAAAATGAAATCTTTACTTTTCTTGCATCGTCAGCTTTGCTTTGAAAGTGGTTATCATCCATTAATCAAAGGCGTTTGAAATTTTAACATTTTTCTGTATATGTACCAGACACTGCAATATTTAATTTTCTGAGATATATATATATCATATTATTTCATCTGCATTTTAGAAATTCATTACACAACAGATTTGCATATCATTTAAATTTATTCATGTTTGATATATATTGCCCCCTATGAATAATTTTAGTTAAAAAATGATACTACTTTTAAAAAAGAAGTGTTTTTCAAGATTTCAATTTGCACATGCAGGATAAATTCTAGATATGTTAATCCATTCTATATTGAGTTTTCAAAACTTTTGAATAAAAGGTTCAAAGTTAAAGTAAAACTGAGACCATGCCAAACAATTCTACAGTGAATTGAGATTGGAGCAGTTAGCAGAGTCAGTTAGTAGGAAAAATCTAGCAAAAAAAAACCACCCTATATCTGAACAATTCAAGGGAAAAAGTTCTTGCTAATAAACAATTTTGAAATATCTTCTTTTTCTAACGACATAATAAACAGATATATATCATATAGTGCTTGCATATATGACTGATTTAGACATATACTTTAAAATAATTGATTTTTGTGGGGATTTATTTTCCCTGATTTCCAGGGTAAACATAATCCAAGATGTCCTTCAACTGATAAAATTAGTATAAGTATACTTATTGTGTTATATTTGTCCATGAAACCAAGTGTTCACAAAATACTAACAAGTTTTAAAAAAAAAACAACAAAAAATTAAGTCCCACAAAAATATCTGATTTTACAGTAGGTTTAAAATTCTTTGATAAATTAGCGAGAGTTGTCAAATGTGACCTTTGACCCTGACCTTCAATACTTAACCTTGATTGATGATTGCTTAGATGTGATAGCAGAACCTCATAATAAGTTACTATGGAAATAAAAATATTATCTGAATCAGTGAGAGTTTTTCAAGATACAACACTGATTCAAAACAGGACATGACAAACCAGAAAGGCGTTGGGGCCACACTATTTGTCCACCCACCTCCCCCCATAAAATGGCAAGACATGAAAAAAAAATAATAATAATAAAAAAAGAAAAATAAAGTTGATAAGACAATAAAAGAGTAATTAACTATAGGAAAAAACACCTATTCAGGTTCAAGCCCTTGTTTTTCAGAAATGGAAATATGTTATTTTTTAAAAGATATTATTGTTAATGTGTGACTTGAGAATGGATTAATACAGATTTTGAAATTGAAAAAAAAAGAAAAGAATATGACCAATACCGGTTAAATTTAATTAATATTGGGTGATTTTCATACCGACATTGATGGGACATCCGAGGGAGTTTTTGGTGAAAAAGTGAAAGATTTTGGGTGTTTGTTACTAAGGAATGGGTTCAAATCAAATTACACGACACAAAGATCAAAATCCACTGAACCATATGTTAGAATCAAGTCATTTTCATCATGATCAAGCACATCGAAAACTTACATGTGGATTGGGCTGAAGGAGTGAAATTGTGACAATTTAAACAAATTCATCAAATTTCTTGGCAAATAAATGAAAAATAATTAAAACTTTCATATATATCTATGAAAAATAATTGAAATTTTTATACGTTTCAGTAGTACCTTAAATATTAAAAGTTTATACCTAAAATAAACATTTTGCTAAAAAATCTGCAATATACAGAAGTTTATATTTAAATGACATCAATTATTAATAATAAAAAAAATATCAAAATTGTTGATCTTAGGATCATTTTGCTGGAATGGTATTTTTGCAATACTTGGAACAGTATAGCAATCCATTTGACCTCTGACTTATGATCTTGACCTATGACCTGTGACCTTGACCATTGGGGTATTGCTGTATCATCCATCGATTATGAATATCTTTCAATGAACATTTACTCTTCTGTTCAAATGCATATGTTGATTCAGAGTTAAAGATACATGTAGTTTTTTACAGCTTAGATACATGTATTTTCAGAGTTGAGATACATGTAGGTTTAGGTTTTAGATACATGTAGTTTTAGAGTTTAGGTACAGGTAGTTTAACAGTTTAAATACATGTAGTTTTAGGGTTTAGATACATGTATTTTCAGAGTTGAGATACATGTAGGTTTAGGTTTTAGATACATGTAGTTTTAGAGTTTAGATACAGGTAGTTTTAGAGTTTAGGTACAGGTAGTTTAACAGTTTAAATACATGTAGTTTTAGGTTTTAGATACATGTAGTTTTAGGGTTTAGATACATGTATTTTAAGAGTTGAGATACATGTAGTTTCATAGTTAAGATTCATGTTATCATAGGGTTTCGATACATGTAGTTTTAGGGTTTAGGTACAGGTAGTTTAGCAGTTTAAATACATGTAGTTTAAGGTTTTAAATACATGTAGTTTTACATTTAGATACATGTAAATTTAGAGCGTAGATACATGTACTTTCAGAGTTCAGATACATGGTAATAAGCAAACAAAAGAGACCTTAAGAGAGTAGGTTAGAGGGTATAAAGACTGGCTACGGGAACAAACCTTGGGTGATGTACTCACTGGAAGGGTAACCATAGCAACGTGTTGGAAGTACCCTGCCACACCCTCCTGGTTTGGCAATACCAGGAAGTATTTATCTCCCTTGGGGGCAAACAATGGCGGCTTGTACTGAAATAAGAAAAAAACTTTCACTTAACCAGTCTTTGCTATATGATTTCTATAGAAATTGAAATTGAACTAAAGTCTTTGGGAATATTTCCCAATGAAACATAGTTTCTGTAAACTTTTAGACAAATCATGATGATCACTTCTGGATTTGACTTACCAACTCTACCCAGGCTCCATGTCCACTCTCTCGTTGATTCTTAAAAAAAAAAAAGTTTAACATTGAAATAAAAATGTGTTGAATTTAGGACATCATCCACTAAAATGTGTTGAATTTAAGGACGGTCATCATACACTAAGTCGGAAGAGACATTACTCACAAAATGTGTTGAAAAATCATTGAACTTTTCAAATCATCTTGACCCTTTTCCAAAGACGTAGAACTGCAGTAATCCTTATCAGGATAGTTATCATTATGATATATATACAGACAAAAGACAGCATCTGTCCGTCCGTCCCTGCCTTAATAAAAAAATCAATTCTGTGATGGTCATGTCAGATTAGCAAGCATTCAAATTCTTCCATTACAAACTTTCCCATGAGACTGATTTTGGTCAACACTGAAGAGAAAATATTTTGTTTGTTTGCTTGTTTATTACTTGGGTTCGGCATCCTAACCACAGATCTGTTTACAGATGGTCAGGCTACAGACGGACAATGTAGTTTCTGACCAGAAGAGAGCTTTCACCAATGAAACATTCCAGAAGAGAGTCTTTCATCAAGGAAACATTCCAGAAGAGAAGCTTGCTATGTCATTTCATACAACTATAAATGCCATAACAAGACAGGTTAATGCTTATACTTACATTCCCTTCACTATTTTGTCTCATACCATTTATAAATTAATTTAAACTAAAACAAGAGGTTCCTGGGCCTTAACGGTCACCTGGTGTCTTTAGGTCTTCAGACAGTTTTAGAACCTGACCATCAGTCCCAGCAGTGAGGCAAACACAACAGAACTGATATATGCATACTAACAAAGTCTTTATTGTTTCTATGTTTGAAGGCTTAATTTTCAATTAAACAGAACAGATAACACTGTCTGCTGTTGTAGTTTAGCATATTTGACCCCTGTGACTTTGACTAAAGGTCAAGGTTATTCATTTGAACAAACATGATAGCCCACAACTTCACCCAAGCATGCCACTGGCCCAAAATCATGACTCTGGGCTTTTTTTATATTTGACAGCTAACTGTTATCTTGAAAGGCAAGGTAATTCATTTTAACAAACTTGGTAGCCCTTCATCTCAGCATGCTACTGGCTCAATATCAGCATCCTGTGCCTTTTGTTTATTGAGAAGTCATTTAAACACATTTGACCCTTGTGACCTTGAAAATGGATCAAGGTCATTCATTTCTATAAACTTGGCCTTTTGACTATTGAGAAGAAAACATAAATGTCAATTGTTATGACACATGACAGACAACAGACAACACTGGACAAAAGGCAATCATAATAAAACTACCATTTTAATAGTAAGTAATTGGCAATTATGCTCACATAAATGACATCACAAGACGCACAAGCTGAATGTCATTTATTGTACTAGTAAATCACACTTCTGTCTGGTTACTTAATATAAAGTGACAATCCCATGCTAATCTAAGTGCACATCATTATATACTTACGATGCTGCACCCTCCTGTCTCAGCATTACACACGGTGATAACTGACTTATTCTGGGCGCGATTCAACCAGGCAATCAGCACATAGTTGTCGTCTCTCCATTGGACAAACGTGAAATAGTATTCCCTATTTAAACAGAAATAAACGAGAGCTATTATAATTCTTTTATCATGTACAAGATACCACTTTATATATCAAACTCAGACTCACTAATAAACTAATACCTGCTGTTGATTTGTATCCTGTAAACATATATTTTCAGTGGTAACCGTTTTTTAGCGGTTTTCACACTAAAACTATAGGGCAAAGATATCATTTCACTAATATCAATTTTAAAAACATGATGTTTATATAGGAAATATTGCTGATACCCAAATCCATCAGTGTGCATTATACAAAAAATAAAACTGCTAAAATTTGATTATGCCAAAATTAAACATGTTTACAGTTTTTAAGTAAGATTATCAAGTTAGTTTATAAAATCCTTTCCCTAAGGCGTCACCATGCCTGTCTTTTTTATTTACAAGGAAATAAAACTTAATGATTTATATAAATGACAAAGTTTTCTTTAGATATTTCAATGTCAATTTTTAAAATTTGAATTCTGAATGTTCAACCTTTTTATATTATACAAAACTTTACAAATATTCATCTTTAAAATAATAAAAATAATTTCAGTCTCAAGACAGATAAGTAAAATTAAAGTATCTCTTGTTTACCTACACAAATGGGTATCATGGCATCAGGGCAAATTCAATAATCATTTTTAAAGAGGAAATGGAAAAAGAGAAAAAAATTTACATAAAACTTATCAGAGTTATCAATTGACAAGATAACATTGTTTAAAGCGGTGCTTATTTCAAATTACAAACATATCCCTGAAAAATTGATCACAAATGAATCTGAAAATATTGTAAAATAATTGAGACTTGACATACGCTTTGGCCAGCTCCATTGGAGGATTAACAACTTTTGTTGCCTTGGTTTTGAAGTTGAAGATTTTAAGCTTAAATGTTGGATTTCTGAAACCAGCCTGGAAAAGAAAATAATTTTTTTTTAAGTGTTAATTAAAAATCAAACACTCCTCTAGCTTTTGATTTACTGTAAAATGTGTGTTGGCTATTTCAATTTGCACTATTAAATTAACGACCAGGAAAAGTGTGAAATAAAATCACTAGAAACGCAACCGACTACACAGTATGAAGTGATTTTTCTCTTTCCTCTGCCTTAATGCTATTCAATTAAACTCATCGGCATATCTTTTTTTCTTCCTTACTGTTAAATCTGTGGTTTTTTTTATATAATTGTTATTGAATTCATCAGAAATAGAAATCAGAAGTACACATTAAGACTATATTCTACAATCAACACAGCCTTTACAATGAGTGTAAAAACTTGTCTCAATCTGAAAAAATAAACAGAAACTTCACTTTGCGAATATTTCATTATTTTTTTTCCAATTTTTGAATATTGTACTTATATTATCCTTTTTTTCAAAAATATAGAGATTTTTCTGTCATAAAACACAAAAACGTTTTACAGTATAATTAAAATTCAAATGGCTGAAAAAAATAGTTAATGTTACCATATAATTTTTCAAAAGATGGGCCATAATTGTAAGAGACAATCCGATCATTGAAGAACAATGATGTATACATACCTTTGGGTATGCGATGCGTTTCTGCATCCCGTACGAGTCCTCCATACTTCCATAAAGAGGGTAGTAATACTTTCGAACCTCTGTATCATTGAATGATGCATATAGGAGAAATGAGCCTTCGGGGGACCACCAGAGGGCGTGGTCTGATGCGAGGATTTCCTCTGTAGAATTACAAAATTTGTAGTGATGTGATTGTAATTATAACACATACAATATATATTTATATATAGATAGGTTTAAATTTTGAACTTATTTCACCTGGATTTAAGAATCAAGGGCACTTAGCCACCACCTTGAATGTGGGTTAAGGTTATTCATTTCAACAAACTTTGTAAACCTTCATCCAAGCCAAATATCATCACCCTGGGTGTTCTGGTTATGCAGAGGATGTTTGAAGTAACAAGTGACATGTCATGATCATTTCATGAAAGTTTTGGCTCAATCACACTGGTGGAACTTGAGAAGAAGTCAAAATGTGTTTTCAAGATGGCGGCCATCTTGGATTTTGGACCAACCCAAAATTAACAAACTTTGGTCAGGACCATGTCACGATCATTTCAGGTAAGTTTCAGCTCAATGTCACAGGTAGAACTTGAGAAGAAGTTGAAAATATGTTCAATGTATTTTCAAAATGGCAGCCATGTTGGATTTGGACTGACCCGAAATGAATAGATTTTGGTCAGTGCCATGTCATGATCATTTCATGAAAGTTTTGGCTCAATCGCACTGGTGGAACTTGAGAAGAAGTCGAAAATGTGTTTTCAAGATGGAGGCCATCTTGGATTTTGGACCAACCCGAAATTAACAAACTTTGGTAAGGACCATGTCACGATCATTTCAGGTAAGTTTCAGCTCAATGTCACAGGTAGAACTTGAGAAGAAGTTGAAAATGTGTTTTCAATGTATTATCAAAATGGCGGCCATGACGGCTATGTTGGATTTTGGACTGACCCGAAATTAACAAACTTTGGTCAGTGCTATGTCATGATCATTTCATGCTAGTTTTGGCTCAATCACACTGGTGGAAATTTGAGAATTCTAAAATGTTTTTTCAAGATGACCCTTCAGGTCAGATGACCTAAAAATTAAATTATAGAATCAGCAATTGCAGATTTGTAAAATAAGATAATATGTATATATTTTTTATATATGAAAGAATAATTTTGCTTTAATTTATACATACAAAAATGGTTGTTGATATAATCGTTGTTTTAATACCCCGTTGAGACATTTCAAAGTTGCCAATAATATGAAGGGTAGAAGACAGAGTTAATTCCCAACAGTAAAATAAAGCATTTTTCTATGTTATATGTGAGAACATGACACCTTTGATTGTCTTTTTTACTAAACAGTGTCCGAGATGAAATCAAGTAAATATTCTTCCACAAATCATAAAGATTCCTAAAGTGGGGACCATTAAGCACACATACCACTGTCATTGATTTTCTTCAGAGGTTTTTAAGAGCTTTATACCAGACTGAATTCCCGAAAGTGGTCAAAGTCAATATCTGGATGATCCATAAAGTGCATGCTAATAGTTGACTGACACGAAATCACCAAATTATCACACGCTTGTGTCTAAAGGAGTAGGTAAGTTCTCACTGAGTTCTCTCAAGTGTGTGTGGCTGGTGTCTGAGGACAGAGGACAGAAGGAGAATGGAGTAAGGAGTCTTGACAGGGAAAAACTGAAGGGAAAAATAATCTAAATGAAGGGAAGGAAGGATGGAAAAAGAGAAAGAATGGAGGAAAAAATAGGATAGGACTGTAGGAAGGAAGGAAGGAAGGATGGAAGGAAGGAAGGAAGGATGGAAAAAGTTAAGGAATGGAGGAAAAAATAGGATAGGAGGGAGGGAGGGAGGGAGGGAGGGAGGGAGGGAAGGAAGGAAGGAAGGAGGGAAGGAAGGAAGGAAGGAAGGAAGGAAGGAGGGAAGGAAGGAAGGAAGGAAGGAAGGAAGGAAGGAAGGAAGGAGGAAGGGAGGGAAGGAAGGAAGGAAGGAAAAAGTTAAGGAATGGATGAAAAAATAGGATAGGAGGGAGGGAGGGAGGGAAGGAAGGAAGGAAGGAAGGAAGGAAGGAAAGAGAAGTAAGGAAGGAGGGAAGGAAGCAAGGAAGGAAGGAAGGAAGTAATAAAGGAAGGATGGAAGGAAGGAAGGAAGGAAGGAAGGAAGGAAGGAAGGATGGAAAAAGTTAAGGAATGGAGGAAAAAATAGGATAGGAGGGAGGGAGGGAGGGAAGGAAGGAAGGAAGGAAGGAAAGAGAAGTAAGGAAGGAGGGAAGGAAGCAAGGAAGGAAGGAAGGAAGTAAGGAAGGAAGGAAGGAAGGAAGAAAGGAGGAAGGGAGGGAAGGAAGGGAGAAAAAATTCGAGAAGAGAAAGGATAGACAAGGAAAATAGAGGAAAAGGAAAGAATGATTGAAGGGAAAAATACAAGGAAAGAGAAGAAGGACTGAAGGGGTGGAAAAATATACATGGATTCAGGTTCTGTACCTTCATACACCCAGTCTGGGATTCCATTAAAGATTTCCTCATGGTAGCCATCTGTGGTGATCTGCATGGGTGCTACATCATTCTCAGTAACGTCTGATTTGTAAAAGATGTTATTGTCCTGTACAAACACCTACAAATGCAAATATTTTATTTTTAGTTTTAAAACCAGAGAAATAATCCATGAGAACACATCATCAAAGAAGGATGGTACACTTCAAATCACAAAATTAATACTGACTTGTATTACAATGTAATCCTAGGAGATAAAATATATATACATCAAGTTCATAATCTATTAAAACGAGGTACTTGCCACTGCATGACCAGTTGGGGCCCATCCCACATACTGAAAAATCTGGCCCATGGAGGTTTCAAGGACTCGTTGTTTCCTGGAAATCATAACCACAAGATTTATGTAAGATATCTACATTCTGCCTTTTTTCCCTAGATGGCTATAATTTTCTAGCTTTCACAGAAAATCTAGAAAAAAAAGGATTCATCAAACACATGAAATTTTTTAAAGATTTGCTGATACTTTAAAACAAAAAATATAAAATCTTCATCAAAGTCATGAGATAGAATTCTATTTCCATTTTCAGGATATCAATTCTTTGCAATTTCAATCTATCCTACAAAATAACGACAAATACAGTCCTTAAAAAATTACATTACAGTATGTTAATGATTCTCTTATGTCAAAGTTGTACAAAATTAAATATTCATACTTTTTTTTTTAAATTGTGAAATCTCCCTTACTACAGGAAGACAATACTTCAGAATATGCCATCAATTTAAATTTCATATTAGCATTTCACATGCTGTATGCCTTGTTCATCTGGCACTAAATAGGCCCCTGATAGATAATAAGCCCATTTGTTAACCTACAATAAGCACAATATTTCTTTACTTTAAGACAAAGAATTCGACCTTGGCCTTATTTCAGGAAATATATACCAGGATAATTGTATTTATTTTACTTCAAAAAAGATATGATCTTACTTTCTCTGAATATCATAGTAGCTGTAATTGGCCAGTTTAGAGTGTCTGTATATCTGTAAAAAAAGAATGGAATACAATTCATACAGTTGTACCTATCTACAGAAGCCACTCAAAGACAAAGAGAAAAGTGGCCTTTATACAAAGGTGGTCTTTATAAAGAGGTACAATTACATGTATAATGAGAAAAGTTATCAAGCACATTTTATTAAAAAAAAGAGACTTACTGGGTGCTCATCAAACATCAGCAAGACATACTTCTGGTCAGGAGACACCTGGAAGGAGTGGGTGTTGAGCTCCCTCTGTTGAAGGTCAAGTGTTCAAAGGTCAGATGCAAGGTCAATACTATTTATAGTTTCATTGGACAAAAATGCCAAAAAAAAAAACCAAATGATTTTACATGATATGTCAGTATAGAGTTTTCCACTGTAAATATTAATAATTCATTTTTGAGAATATATAGGACTTTACCTACAAATATATCTTCTCAATTTTGAGTTCTAAAAGACGTAAACTTTTTTATTTCATCCAATTCTACAAATATTAACACATGCCAATTTTTTTATAAAACAATTTGCCTTCTACTGCTCAATCATGTAGTTTTTTTTTGTGTGGCTTCAATTTTGTAGTGTTCCAAATTTCTTTCGTAGTTCCTGATCACAAAATTCAGTAATACTATCTTTTATGGTAATTTTTTTTTCCGTTTATGAAAAATAAATACCCATGAAAATTAATGCTTTGACAGTATGTCACAATGACCTGCTATCAATGAACTTATCTTACTGTTATTCCAACAGGAAACTTACGAATGTTGTATTATCCATGAGGACTGAAGAGGAATTGTCAGAACACCGGTAAATGACCACGGCGCCATCATCATTCCGATACAGAAACTGGTCATCTGAAACACATAATTTCAAACTTGTAAGTCATATGAACATCCAGTATAAACTATGTTCTGATAATTAAGCTGTCCATCTTTATCTATATCTGGCTTTTCACGTTCTGCATTCAGTGAGTGTTAAATAATACATTGGTATATTAGTATATCTCATATACAAGAACTCCAAAACCACAACTTATTAAGACGGAATTAAATTGGGTTCATATTGCAGGGAAATATACATGAACATAATACTAACAAGTGATTGACATCTTTTAATATAAATTTAGAATTCGGTACATAAAAGCCTGTTAATGAATTAAATTACATCATACAGCTGCTTAATCTGGGGCTTGTCCAGAAGTACTTTATAAAGACCTAAATTTTGAAACCTATGAGGCGACCGAGGAAAATCAAAATAATCGAAACAAATCTGCCAAAATGTATCGATGAGGAGCTGCAAAAGTCCTATAATCCAATAAATTTCCAATTATTATATATCTCATAATCACAAGCACATATGTATATTCTGAACTGTGCAACTATATTTAAATGTCAGGGAAGGAGGGGAGAAAGTGTTGGCTTTTTGGTTCAAAGGAAGAAGACTTTTTTTTTTTATATTAGAATTTCTCCACATCATAATTGGGATCAGGTACTAGAGTATCATTATAAAAACATTTACTGTCATATTTCAATTAGAACTTAGATTAGTTTGCAATTTACTAAGTTTTTACGGTATATTTTTTCCATGCTTAAAACACCATTGAATAAAACGTAAAATAAAATGAAAACTGATAATTCATTTGAAAAAAAGGTATCGCACGAAAACCCTGTAAGATGATGAGCAACAAACATGGACGTGTTTTTAACGCAATATATCATCTACCAAGTTTATGAGAAAGTCAATCACTCTTAAGCTGTTACCGATGTCTATATATGTATGTAGTAAATTCTTCAGACCAAAATTACGAGTAAAAAACCGTAAGACATTACTCGTGCCTCACACTTATAATCAATAAAGCAGTCTAAAAATAAACTAAGTTCCCTGTTGCGGGAGAAATGAAACAAATGACAAATATTACCACATTTCTTCCAACAGATCAAAGCTATAAAAGGAATATGTTTTTAGTTCCTGAAAATTATTACGATAATATATTTTTTACAAAATTATAAAATCGTCCTTTCTGTGTCCTTTCTTTGAGTTTTCCTGGTTTTTTTAACAAACCACTTATCTGATCTGCTGTATATACATTATCTTATATGATTGCTGTTCTAAATCAACGGCAAATCACAAACAGCTTAATTTTTTTTTGAAAAACATTTAAATACATAAAAATTTAAACTATAGCTATCGTCCAGGGGCCAATCCTACTACCAACAAAGTTATTTGTAAAATGGTATTTAATTTTGGTGATAGAAATAATCCATCCATTAGTTTAGGAGTAGCTGTTACATTGTTGAGTTCCTGAAACGGCATAAGTTTCCGAAATCAATCTGATAAAGATTACAAAGCATTTGCAATGTATAATGATTATTGCCAGCTAGTATCATTGAAATCAAGTTTTCGATTTAGGAGGAGTAGTATGTAAATTGTTGCGTCTATAGACGGATGGATGGACACATTACAAGTACTCATTCTGTCCCGAGGATTGCTGGATACCATAGCTATGATTGTGACCACTTTCTCAGCTTTTACGCTTCAGTGATCAACTATATCCCGGTGGGTGCTACTCGGAAGCCAAAACATACTATTAAAGTCTTACGACTGTAACCATGGTAACGTTAATGAGACTACACAGCTACTAGTTTATACGTAATTAAGCGTATTAGACGTCCAAGATTTTCCGATACTTTGTTGTTAGTAGACAGTCTCTCAGGACATACAAGGAAAAGTTCATTACAGAATACAGTATGTTCTCAAACACAACCATTGACCTATAAATCGAATGAAAGAATGTAGGCCAGAGCTAATTTTGATAACCATTGTGGTGAGTCAAAAGCAAGCCTAATTTAAATATTCATTTGCTCATTGTATTTCTAGCTTCATTGTTTCTCTGGAGTCGTTCAGACTGGTTAACTCTCACAGATCAGGAGTTGTTCAGACTGGTTAACTCTCACAGATCAGGAGTTGTTCAGACTGGTTAACTCTCACAGATCAGGAGTTGTTCAGACTGGTTAACTCTCACAGATCAGGAGTCGTTCAGACTGGTTAACTCTCACAGATCAGGAGTCGTTTAGACTGGTTATGTCTCACAGATCAGGAGTCGTTCAGACTGGTTATGTCTCACAGATCAGGAGTCGTTCAGACTGGTTAAGTCTCACAGATCAGGAGTCGTTCAGACTGGTAAACTCTCACAGATCAGGAGTTGTTCAGACTGGTTAACTCTCACAGATCAGGAGTTGTTCAGACAGGCTAGCACATGGATCTGAAGTTGTTCAGACTAACTAGTACACAGATCTGTAGTTGTTCAGACTAACTAGCACACAGATCTGGAGTTGTTCAGACCAACTAGCTCACAGATCTGTAGTTGTTCAGACTAACTAGCTCACAGATCTGGAGTTGTTCAGACTAACTAGCTCACAGATCTGGAGTTGTTCAGACTAACTAGCTCACAGATCTGGAGTTGTTCAGACTAACTAGCTCACAGATCTGGAGTTGTTCAGACTAACTAGCTCACAGATCTGGAGTTGTTCAGACTAACTAGATCACAGATCTGTAGTTGTTCAGACAGACTAGCACACAGATCTGTAGTTGTTCAGACAGGATAGCACACATACTGTAGTTGTTCAGACAGGCTAACACACAGATCTGTAGTTGTTCAGACTAACTAGCTCACAGATCTGGCGTTGTTCAGACTAACTAGCTCACAGATCTGGAGTTGTTCAGACTAACTAGCTCACAGATCTGGAGTTGTTCAGACTAACTAGCTCACAGATCTGTAGTTGTTCAGACAGACTAGCACACAGATCTGTAGTTGTTCAGACAGACTAGCACACAGATCTGTAGTTGTTCAGACAGGATAGCACACAGATATGTAGTTGTTCAGACAGGCTAACACACATATCTGTAGTTGTTCAGACAGGCTAGCACACAGATCTGTAGTTGTTCAGACAGGCTAACACACAGATCTGTAGTTGTTCAGACAGGCTAGCACACAGATCTGTAGTTATTCAGACAGACTAGCACACAGATCTGTAGTTGTTCAGACAGGATAGCACACAGATCTGTAGTTGTTCAGACAGACTAGCACACAGATCTGTAGTTGTTCAGACAGGCTAACACACAGATCTGTAGTTGTTCAGACAGGCTAGCACACAGATGTGTAGCTGTTCAGACAGGCTAGCACACAGATCTGTAGTTGTTCAGACAGGCTAACACACAGATCTGTAGTTGTTCAGACAGGCTAGCACACAGATCTGTAGTTGTTCAGACAGGCTAGCACACAGATCTGTAGTTGTTCAGACAGGCTAGCACAAAGATGTGTAGTTGTTCAGAGTAACTAGTGCACAGATCTGTAGTTGATAGCTGACAAGAGACAAGCTTTACTTACTACCCAGGCCTAGTTCACATCTCTGAGATAGCCTGCTCAGAGTCTGGGTGAAACCATATTCTACCAAAGTTGACACAATAACCTGATACAGATATCAGATAATAGCTGTTTTCTTACCTTCAATCCAGACTGGGTGAAATGATTTTGGTTTTAACTCCCCTGTTAGGAAATCTTCAAAACTGAATTTTTCTCTTGTATCTTCTTTTGGTTTAGCTGTAATATAATAAAATTAGTTTTAAAAAACAAGCATATCATCTTTTCTAAGAAAATTTGATTTATTTTTTATTTTTCAAAACGGTAATTTTCTTCGATGAATACGACATGAGAAAAGCTGGGTGTTTTGTAGGATAAATATTGTGTAAACATGACCACATGGAATGACTGACATTCTGGTGTAGTCCTGATACACATAGCACATGCCAAGACAAACTGCTGGTGTCTGGTGATACATCTTTCAGTATATTGGCTAATGCCATTTATCACACAATTGTCATTCCATGTACTGTAAGATTCAGACACAGAGATCACTTAATAGGGTCAGAGCTGAAGGAAAATTTCCCCTCCCCAAGTCATTAACGAGTGACAATATGGTTAACCAAAATGACCAGTTATTCCTCCTGATCTAACAAACTTTGACTAATCCTTACAAAGCCTGTATTCATATTTTCAGGTCCGTCCAAATTTATGCTTGAAATGTTGTCTCGAATTTTCTTGAAACCGTTTTCTTAAATACAAACACACCAAAAATTACATGCTACCATCTTTGTCCTGCTTTTCAGCCCAGGATGTCAAAAATAAAAAAAAAAAAAATTACCACTCTATTTTTTCGGCAATAAACCCATGCGGGGTGCCAAAACATAAATGACGTCAAACTCACTCACTGAAAAGTCTTACGCGATTTTGATACAGCATGTGTGCATTTTTACATAAACTGCCATAGATATGGATAAGCTTTATCAGGCATTATCTACCAATAATTATGGTGTCAAGAATTGCAAACAAGAAAATACACATATCACATATTTTATAGGTTGACTTGCTGATAAAATGTATATTTTTTCCCCAATGAGAAATAAAATTCTACATCATAAAAATAAAAGACAAATAACTTTCTAAGGGAAATAACTCTACGCTGACAAAAAAATCCTTTCCTATCTTACACATAAGGAATCAATGAAAATGAGAAATAATGGCTGAAGTGGATTTTTCCTTGTAAAACATTGTGTCCCCTAATCACCTCCAGCTATGGATGAAAGAGTTTCGTGATATGATCTACATACAAGTAATTTTACGCACATTAAAGATAATAACCTTGTAATCCTAAAGTCACTTTAAGCAAAATAAACATCATAACACTTTGTTTGAACAACAAAATGAACTGAGATATTACAACTGAAAGGTCATATAAAATGAAATATTGTAATGAGTTTCTTGAGTTCATAAAAGGTTATAATGAAGTTACAAAAATCTTTTCTTGAGTTCATAACAAAAAAGATCACAAATTTTATCATCCTTCACAAATTAGTTAAGAGAAAATAAATTGTTTGTTTTCTCCTAGTGAGCAACATGGAAACTAATATGCTAAGGGGAGGTAACTGTAAGTCTATAACTTGTAATTGATTCCCATGTGAAATGTATAATACTGAAATTGATTGTTCTGGGAACTGAGTGTGTTGGTTTCCTTATGATATTGATTGTACATGTAACTTACCCCATTAACAAAGACAAGTTTGTTTACTGTAACGGTAAACAAACAACAAGAAAAGTACACAATCAATTTAGTCAAACAGATATTCAATTGTTGACAAGCTGTTCTTTGTTACTTGATATTTCTAATTTCAAAGACAATAAAATTCTTACATCAATTTCTTGAAGTTTATATTGCACATGTTGAATAAATTTAAATATAATTTCAATGAAATTAGAATTTTTATTATTTCGTTTCATGGACATCATTGATGTCAGATTAATTTTTATTTTGGGACCAGAAACTACTCAACTGAAAATAATGCTGAGCTTTCAATCTATTTCAGGATAAAAGTTAGAATAAAATTTGTCAGACAACATTGTTCAGATCTAAAGTGTAATGATAATATCTCTATGATTCAAGACTTGTATATTTAGGAGTGCAGTAAACTGTTATCTGCCATTATAAACTCAAGTGATATCGTGAATCAATTTGTTTGTAGCATTTAATCTGTTTCTACGTTACCAAAATAACAATGTAAAAGCCTTTGTTTGTATTGAGTATATAGGCGTATATATATGTAGTATAACTATCATTATATAATAAACTACCACGGTTTTATCATAAAAGATCTGGACAATTTCTGCCTTGTAATTCACTTGGAATAAATGTAATTACGCATAGGTAGCATACACCCTTAAGTTAGGACATTATTCACAACAAAATCGTAAGTATATAAGGCATGTCTACATTTTATGACAAGAAGTACAGTATTATGAACTGCTAGACATTCTCAAACGATCAGACTTTTCATTCTGTTAAAAGGAAACGTTTGTACTCAATTTGTACAAAGTGCTATTAGCAATCTTCCACAAATCACCTTCCTTTCACTATAAAATTAAATCATCATTTATTTAATGACAAAATTTCCATTTTCTATGCATTTATAAACACCTGGTGGTCGTTAGAAAGCTAAAATTAAATTGAAAATTTCTTCTGCTGCGAGATTTAAGTATGAAGCGATGATATATTGCAGAAATACTGCTGAGCTGAACTTTCATGCCAGACCTTCTCCAGAGTAGATCAATCGAGATTGTCTGCATTTGCTACAGGTAAGTTTAAACCCACACAAAGTGTTGACAGATGATGGGGCAGTTCTAACATTTGTCGATATACCCCGGTAGTTGAAAATCCTTGAAGCACTAAAGTTTTTATCATGCTATGAAATTGATTCAGGATAGAGAATAGATGGGACACGATTGGATCGACATGGGTAACGTTGCATGCTTCCATGCCGAGGTATGGAAAATATGAAAGTAAATTTGTTTTGAAAGTAGAACGTAATGCAGACTATATTGAAACACAAACCAGGATCCATGACATGTACAAACCAAGAATCTTATTTTCTATCTCTAAATAGCGATACCAAATATTATGAGCTATTGGGTAAAGAATTCGCTAATCACAACTAGGTCTGTTTCTTCCTTTTTCTCTTGACAGGAAGACTGTTCCATTTTAACACAAGTTTATACAAATAACACCAACGCTCAAGTAAGGCACAATTTTTTTGTATTGTAAAAAATTATCTCTTATAACAACACAATCAATAACGGATACCAGACTTACATTATAAACTTTGGCAATCTTAGGGGCTACTCTGCATGTTTATTTCTAGAGACATTTAAAATGACTGAAAAATCCTGATCAACATAGATACTGAGTGAGCCCAGCATGTTGTGGCTGTGTACCTGTGGCCAGGTGAGGCCACCAGGTATATGCCACTTAAATGAAATGTCAGATAAACCATCAGGTTAATATTGAATACTAAATACATTAAGTAAATTGAGATTCATAACTGTAATGACTATATCGGAATTGGGGTAGAAAATTCAAATATGCTGAATTGATAAGGCCAAAATCGATTCGAATAGAAACCATTGTGACTATTGCAAGAGAGCCCCCAAGAAAGATATAGGTACGGGTAAAGAATTCACTAATCCCAACTAGGTCTGTTTCTTCCTCGTTTTCTTGACAGGAAGACTATTCCATTTTAACACAAGTTCAAAATTCAAACAAGACATTCAAAGTGTAATAACACTTGTAAAAGTAGAGGATATTGAATCGTAAACATGGCCACAACTTAAGGAATATGTCTCTCCATTATCTTGAGGCCTGTAAATCCATTTATCAACTTCTCTACCACAATCAATGTCCATTTCTCGTGTGTCTTAATGGATGGTCACTCTGGGCCTGACCACTGTAACACTTAATTCATCACTCATCATATACTCTTAGCCACTGGTCATTGCCTGGTCTTTCCCAGCCCCCTTACGATATAGTGGTCATATTGTAAGGATGGTTCTATGAAAGGGAAAGAGATACTTCAGGTTGCCTTGGTCACACCATTGTACCTGCAGATACACATTCTTTATGAATAGACGTAAATCTTCTCCTTTGATTAGTGAATAGTTCATATTTCTATAAAGTTCAGCTCAATCAATTCAAATTTATGTACTTCAGTTTTAAGTGACCTCATTTTCAGTCATGTCCACATAGGTGAGGAAGCAGGCCACAGTTTTGTCCCAAGGCCACTACAAACCAAGGTCATTAAAACACACTTTGTGCTCAATGCTTGTCTTTCAGCAATATATGGAATGCACAAAGACTATAGTATATCCCTTTGTTTGTTCATGTGTCTGTGTGGGGTGTTATGCTGCAGTGTTCAGGTCATGACATGTCAGTCTGTCAGCACTATAAAAGTGTCAATCAGTGTCTGCATCATCTATCATTCAAGTCACATCTACTGATACATTATGTATTGGAACTTTCTCAGCATTATATTGTTCCAAGTTGTTGTATGGTTACCTATTCTCAACAAGCCCCACCATATCAAGATCCTTCTCCCTTGAATGGATCCCCTAATCAAGCCCCACCATATCAAGATCCTTCTCCCTTGAACGGACCCCCTAATCAAGCCCCACCATATCAAGATCCTTCTCCCTTGGACCCCCTAATCAAGCCCTACCTTATCAAGATCCTTCTCCCTTGAATGAAACCCCTCAACAAAACCTACCTCAATATTATCCCTTTCCATTCTCCCCAAAGTAGACCAATCAACAAGACCTACCTCATTCATAATGATCCCTTTCCCATCATCCCTAGGTCGACCAATGAACAAGACCTACCTCTTTCATAATGATCCCTTTCCCATCATCCCTAGGTCCACCCATCAATGAGACCTACCTCATTCATAAAGATCCCTTTACCGTAACCCTAGGTCCACCCTTCAATGAAACCTACCTCATTCATAATGATCCCTTTCCCATCATCCCTAGGTTGACCAATAAATGAGACCTACCTTATTCATAAAAGTCCCTTTCCCATAACCCTAGGACGACCCATCAATGATACCTACCTCATTCATAATGATTCATTTCCCTTCTTAATTAAGAACCCACTCCTTTCTTCACTCAGTAGATTCTCTTCCCTCAGTGAATCCCTACAATAAGCTCTTCCTCATTAAAAT